CCTGCAGACACAACAGGACCAGCAGCACACCTTTGTCCATGGCTGATGAAGTGAAGAGTTTGAAACACACACAGGTCTTAATATACTCACTGTCAACCAGCCACATAAGGCAACAGGATACCACCAAGTAACAACATCAGAAAGACATCAGATGGTTTAATGAGCCTTCACAATAACATGAGACATTACTTCATCATTAATTACATCAGTTCGACTATCAGTAACTCTCGAATCTCTCTGTTACGTTTGATCTACTTTCATCAGCACAAATAATCACCAGTGTCTGATCTTACACAGATAGGAAGCCCACAGACCTTTTTCCAGCCATTTTTTACTAATTAATGTTCCATTTAGTGTAGCAGAGCCTTTTCCAGTGAGCCAACACGCTCAACAGCAGCACCCTGACTCTGTTTGAGCTGAATGGAACGGAGCCTTAATGAGTGTCTTTGATAACGCCTGTGTTTACCCTATTTATCATTCTTTCAGAATGGCTGCTGTGAAAAAGGCTCTGAATCAATGTGAGATGAGTGTTTGAAGTCAGAATTAGGCGTTTTTATTTACAGACGCTGTGGGTCTCCTTGGGTTCTGGGTTTTTCCCATATTTCAGGCCCACTGTAGTTGGGGCACGGCCAGGTTAAAGGGAAGGGTGAAATTATCTGCCACTACACCTCTAGAAGCCCCATAATCCTACACTCTGGACCTTTAAACCTCACCTATCCTCTGCTCTACTCTCTTTGAGGCCTTTTCCTGTCTATGTTTTTCCTGCCAATGAGAATACTTTGAGGTAGTCATATACTGCACAGATTGTGAAGAAAAAAGTGTTATATTGGGCTACATAAATAAAACTGACTTGAATAATCAATGTTGTAACAGCAGTTCAGTTGCGTGACAGTAAAGTAAGTGCTCTGACATAAACTGTTACTCAATTTTTCTGCACTTTCGCAGTGATTTGACCACATTTTAGTGTTGGAATCAAAGTAATTGCACCACCAACAAAAATGGGGAAGCATCACAAAAATGTCAACACCAAGTAAATGTAACCAAGATTCTTTCACATACATACATAGAGCCCAGAAAGGCTACCAGAAGACATTTTAACATGCTGGAGGAAAAGGCAGAGTTGTAAATAACAGAATTAATGATCAATTAATTCTTCAGTTTCAGGATCCTGTTATCATTAATGTCAGACACCTCGTGTTTTCTCTCATGACAAGTCAAAATGTCTGCTGTGATAAAGCAGAGAAAACACCTGAATTGAATACATTTTAAATATGAATACAATTTAATAAATAAATCTTCTTCAAGGTTATTAAAAGTCTGGTAACATGTTACATAAAGGAGCCCTGCAGAGCTTATTTTAGAGTACAAATATCAGGCTATTAATGTATTTACTACCTGTTTTATTTTATTTTATGGTATTACTTTATTTTGTCATTTATTTGGGGGGTTCTACTGATCCCAAGAGAGGTATTGAGGGACACAGGGTGGGTATGAGGGGTAATGTTCAGGTGTGTTCAGTATGTTTGTGTGTCTTTAATAATGCAAAACTTAAATGCAGTTATTAAAAACTGTGTCTCTGCCACTCTGACCTTGTACATACACATTAATAAAACCTATTTATTACTTTCATTTGAGGCTCTGTAATTCTCCACCTGTCCACTAGTTGCCCTCAGCGAGTTTCCCGCCTTTTGTCAGTCACCTGTTCTCCTCACCCACCTGCACACCTGCTCCTCATTATCCCATCAGCCTCCTCCACACAGACACCGCCATTTCTCCTGCTTTACCTGCCTGTTACCAAGTAAACACAACTTCATCCTCAACTTCTGAGTCTGTGTTTCACACCTTTACAGTTATTTGTGGAAGTTCCTGTGACAGATAGGAATCAAGATACTAAATCTTAAGTTTCCCGGAATCTCCTAACAAAAAAAAAAAAAAAAAAAGAAAGAGGGGAAAACAGGAAACAATGATCATCAGAATCCGTCTTTTATGTGGTGTTTTTTTCTTTAATGAAGTTAAACTTCGTTACACAAACACTTCACATCACTTCCATGTCGCCTGATTCGTCCAGTCCAGCAGGAAAACACTGGAAGTAGATCCTGTCCACGTTTGATCCTGATTTTCTCTCAGAAACCGGGACCCGGCTGCCCGGATCAGACCTGCTGTCAAACTTCTCCTCAACTTTTAATGAGGAGAAAAACGTTTTCTTAAAGTCTTGGAGACAGATTATTTTGGCGAGAGCTCGAACTTTATTGA